AGAGCAGCAGCAGCAGCAGCAAGAGCAGCGGCAGCAAGAGCAGCAGCAGCAGCAGCAGCAGCAAGAGGTGGATCAAGATATGGAGATCCTCGATTCCTTGACGCTATAAACCCGTATTACGTGCAGCAGCAGCAGCAGCAGCAGCAGCTGTTGCTGCTGCTGCTGCTGCTTCTGCTGCTGCTGCTGCTGCTGCAACACAATGAGCAGCAGAGAAGACAACCTGCAGCAACAGCAGCAGAAGCAGCAGTTGCGGCAGCAGCTAACCCAGAAAAGCAGCAGCTACTGCAGCAAAAGCAGCAGTTGCTGCTGCTGCTGCTACAGCAATTGTTGCTGCTGCATGCACTGCAGCAGCAGCTGCTGCTGCTGCATGCTTTCATAGAGACTTGATTTAGGAATATAGAAAGTATAGGGGGCAGATCCAGGTGTATAGGCAGAGCACAGCAGCAGCAGCAGCAGCAGCAGCATTAGCTGTTGCTGCTGTAGCTCGAGCAGCAGCAGCAGCAGCAGCAGCAGCAGGTACTGCTGCTGCTGCTGCTGCTGTTTGCTGCTGAAATAGCAGCAGAAGGAGAGCATCCTGCTCGCTGCAATGCACGAAAGATATTTGGGTTTAATATAGACACAGCTAGCTGTGGCTAGCTGTGGCTAGATGTAGCTAGCTGTAGCTAGCCGTAGCTAGCTGTGGCTAGCTGCAGCTAGCTGTGGCTAGCTGTAGCTAGCTGTAGCTAGCTGTGGCTAGCTGTAGCTAGCTGTAGCTAGCTGTGGCTAGCTGTGGCTAGCTGTAGCTAGCTGTAGCTAGCTGTAGCTAGCTGTAGCTAGCTGTGGCTAGCTGTAGCTAGCTGTGGCTAGCTGTAGCTAGCTGCAGGGGTGTTGGGGTTGGTGGCCGCAGCAAGTCGTTCTATAGAACACTAAAAATAATATACTGAGGGTAGCGTTGCTGCTGCTGCTGCTGCTGCTGCTGCTGCTGCTGCTGTTGATGCTGCTACTGGTGTTGTTGCTGCTCCTGCTGTTGCTGCTATTGCTGCTCCTAATGCTGCTGCTGCTGTTGCTGCTGCTGCAGCTGCTAGTATGGGGCCCCCCACACTGCACTCACGCTACAAACGTATACACATCAACAACGCATGCATGCATGCATGCATGCATGCATTGCTGTGCATGCATGCATGCGCCCATGCATGTACTGTTCATGTGTGTGCATGCATGCATGCATTAGTATATGCTGTGCATGCAAGCATGCATGCGCTGTTGGTGTGTATGCATGCATGCATATGCATGCATGCAGGTGATGTGTTTGGGGCTTTTTTATGTTTAAAGGAAATTAATTTCTCTACTGTCTGTATCCAGCAGCAGCAACAGCAGCAGCAGCAGCAGCAACAGCAGCAGCAGCAGCAGCAGCAGCAGCAAATAAGGTTTCTTCAGCAGGTACACCAGTATATAAATTATTTTATTTTTTTCTTCTTTATAAGATTTCTATCAAATATAATAAATAAATAAACACAAAAATATATAAACAAAGAACAAAAAAGAGTAAGGGGGGCCCCCTGGGGGCCCCCCGCATGCAGCCCCATCAATGTCTGCAGCAGCAGCAGCAGCAGCAGCAGCTGCTGCTGCTGCTGCTGCTCAGGTTGCTGCTGCAGCGTTTTGTATAAAAACTTTTAAATAAATGTTTT